GTTTAACCAAAACTTATGTAAAAAAACCGAATTTTGATTCCTAAAATGAATTCGACACAACATATTTAAAAACATTCAATTTCAATAAAAAAAAGTTTTTTATTTTTATCTTTTTTTATTAAACTTATAAAACATTAATCAAAACCCGTGCAACGCACGGGTCCATATCTAGTATATTGATACTTCTTACAAACAAAACGGTTTATATGATGACACTTTTGAAAAATAGAAGGAATATAACTTAGACCTATGTTTAAGACAAAATCAGCATTGCGATGCTTTATAAGTCTAGCTTGTTCCACCGTTAGTTTTGTATGATTGAAAGATTGATAGATGTTGTAATTGATTTTTAAAACGCTAGATATTCTTTGGAAAGTTGTCTTTAGATTTTTGTTGGATCTACGTGATGCAGATTTTTTTTTTTTTTGATAAAGGGCTTTATAATGCGGAATTTTTGCTACTAAAGTTATAATAAGTAGCTATTAACACCTAATTTAATCTAAGTACTTTATAAAGAGCACAATGTTGACTGGTTTGTGACTGAACATGACGTGTTTCAAAATCAAAGGTCGACACAGAAGCAGTTTTTTCTGGCTTATTATCTATTAACGTTTGTTTTCTGCTGTGCACAAAAAAAGAAAATTTGTTCTCAGCAATACAAATTCAAAAAATTTACATTATATGATACACGTAAGTTCAATCATCTATCATCCTCTTAGATAAAGAATATGCTAAACACATTTATTTATTTTATACTCTATCACTTTCATGAATAATATCGTCCCGATATTATGAACATGATTCCCCCCAATCCCAAAGCTATAATCATAAAATTATATAAACCAAATAAATCACCCGACCACGACTAATCATAATCGTAAAGGTAAAATAAAAAAGAGTCGAGCTTAGGTTAAATCATAGGGGACCGACTTCCGACAGAACATGTAATAGCTAATTTCATTTACATGAGTAGTTGTTGTGGTTGAAAGTTGAAACAAAACAATTACTTCTCTTTTAAGTATAAACTAAATTTCGATCCGCGCAACCGCGCGGATTTCTGTTTTCCTTTATTTTTTTTATAAATATTTTATTTTCAATTCTGAATTGGTATATATTATAATATATATGAAGTATGTCTATCAATTTTTAAATCATAATAATTTTATTATATATTTTTTCTTGAATAAATTGTTTGAAACTTTCACATGTATTTGTATATTCTTGTATATATATTTTTTGGATTATTATTGTATTATTGAAATCGTAACTATATATATAAAGATTGGTAAAATATTGTTTTATTATCATATTCAAAGATATTGTAACATTTCACAAATTTAAATTAAAAAAAAATTAAACTTGTAGCTTCATAGATTTATATTATCGAGTATTCATACTAAAAAACAAAAGTAATCTTGATTTTTTCATATGTTTTCGTAGAATGGTTTTATTTTATCATTGGTATGGGTATGATAAAAGTAATATATGTGTCGTCCAAGAAAAAAAAAGAGTAATATATGTTAATCATATAAATTGGTGTTAAACCAAAAAGAATAGTAGTTTTTTTAAAACATAACCATGAGATAAGTTAGTTCAGTTCGTTAAGGAAATAAAGTAAACTATAGTAATAATATCTCTTATTTAATATCAAGATTATTAATGATTAAAAATATAACATAACTCCCTTTTCTAGGAATATGTCGAAAATTTAAAATATCACACATGAAATCAAGTCATGATTTCTGTTTTAATATATAAGATTTAAATTGGTACAAACATGATGGCCATTGCGATTATTAAACTCATGCATAGTTTGTTGAATTGCATAGACATATGGTTTGCACAGCATATGACTGTAATGGCCTGTGCTTATGCAGCATCAAACGCTTCTACATCTTCTACATATATAATTGACGACACGCGCCGTGATTACTATAGGTTGGATCCATTCAGAACATCAACTTATTAAAAAGAGAAAACGAATATAAACTATGTACCGGTCGTTCGAGAAACGAAAGAGGCGGTACATTGAAGCACAAGAAAGGAACATAGTTAAAAGAGATCAAGATAGTGTGAATACACATTTGGAGAAATGTTGACACAATTTTACCATTTTAGCATTAGAGAGTGGCTTCTTTGGAATATTATAGGGGGCAGTAGTGCAATCATTTACAAAATTCGACTATTTCTTTTATTGTGAAATTATTCTCAAGCAGCATTGATTCTCTCTTCTCTCCTCATTCTTGATTTGATTTGGGCTTTGCCATTATTGAAAGCAGCTTCACACCAAAGAACAAATACTCTCCTCTTTTATTTTCTTTACTTCTCTTATATCCAATATCGAACATTCAACAGTAGAACTCGTTGTACGGAAAACATTTCATATTTGTAACATTTCGTATAATAATCAAATGACGCGAAATTAATATAGGTGTATTGTAACGTGTGGGGTTATCTTATGTAAGTATGACGTGATGCTGAGGGACTATTTGGTGAATGGTAACTCTATTGTTACAGTTTGGTATGTTCTCTCTTTGTAAGTACGTTGAACTGTAATGGCTTGTGTCTTGGTTTGTTTCCTCCTAGAACCAAGAACATCATCTGGCTTTATCCGGTCAGAAGTCAGGAGCTTCTTACTTTGTTCTTGAATCACCAATATGGCCGGTCCTGAGTCAAACCTAACGAAACATTTGTCTTAAGTCTTTGAAATTCTCGAAAAAAATATATAGTCAAAAGCCCCTAAACAAATTTTTTTTAGGTTTCCAAATTTGTGAAATTTTCTTTTTTAGTTCAAATCTTTCATAAATAGCCTATGGTCCCCTAAATCTCAGGGTCGTCCCGATCACCAACAAGAATTTTCACATGGCCTGAATCGCGCTGTTGCCTTTACTCAAATCCGAACAACTAGCCGAGCCATTTGAGCGAAACGCAGATGGCCTTGAGGGCTCTCCTATGAGCTTCAGAGATAGCGGAGATGGAGAGTGGGAATTCTCGGTTTCATGTCTTGTCGCCATTCCTATGCTAAGCTGAGACATACCGACCAGCTCGTCCATGCTCACACGTACGTTCTTTAGCAAATCCAGGTTTTGGTTTTAGGACCTGGTGCTGCTGAGAAGAAGTCTCAGCTTCCAAGGAATGCTCTGTTCCTTGAAGTGAAGTGGGGAGCCAAATCGTGTAAATGACTGGCAAACAAGGAGGAAAGAACCCGCTTGGGACTAGCATTGGTGAAAGACCGTTTGATGGTTCTGTGACTTCCTTAAGTTTCCCCTGTTGTGGCGCCATGGTGACCGCTTCAGATTTTGTAGTATTATTGAGTGAGAGCTCTAGTGAAGGAATGTAGGTCTTGCTTTTGGGTTCCTTGCTTGGAGAGGAACGGTTTAAGCTATGGTCTTCCTGTGTTGGTGATGAATCCGTTACCTAAAGAAAGCAAAAACATAGGAGATATTCAATACAAGCTACAAACAATTTCCATCAAATAACACAAATCACTAAGAGATGATGCTAACCATTTCATCTGTAACCATGTCAAAGAGGCTAGAACGTCTTTTCCTGCGGCTGGAACAAGTATGGCGGATGAAATACTTTTGAGCATGACTAGCCACTTGTGTAGGGGTTCTCGACATTACATAGTTTCTTGATATACCACGCCAATCTCCTTTACCTAGCTTCTGAAGACCTACTAAGAATAGCTTGTGCTCCTCTTCGGTCCAAGGAACACCTGTAAACCCCACTTAAACATGTCAAATTACATAACATTCAAGAACGCTTAAACACACATAACCATTGACTCATGCTCAACAACAACATGATAAACAAATGAAATGGTGCTTTCCCCAAACCGGTGGTAAGATCCAATCAATTTCAGCAATAAACCGATATCAGTTTCAACACCATAAACGCCCACAAACATGGATATAAAGTTCAACGCCAAACTTTTCATCTGTAAACATACATAACCATGAACTCAAGTTCAAATGAAGATGATGCTAGCCCACTAACAACTTCACTAAACCGGTGGTACGACCTAATCAGTTTCAACAGTAAACCGATTCTGGTTTCAGCGGCCTTTTTTATAAACACTAACAACTTCACTCACAAGTCACGAACATGGTAATCATCTCTTGCATCAAAAGGTAACAAAGACTAAACATTTATAACAATTTAAATTCCAAATCTCAAAACTTCACCTCTCTTCTTCTCCACACGACGGTGGATAGACCCGGAACCACGAGCTGTATCATCAGATAAATACCCTTCGTTATCTTGATTCGAGTACCGCGCGTGATCCGACAACGGCGAGTCGTTATGATTGCCCGTAGCTAAAGGAGACGACGGAGATAAACGGTGGTGCACGGCCAATGCAGAGAGGTTACCCATACTCGCACTCTTTTTAATAATCGACCCATCCGTTAACCTCACGCCGAATAGCTTCACGGAGGAGGAAGACGATCCTCCGACACCACACGTGCCACTCCCACGCGTCGGACAGGTGCGAGAGTTGTGTCCATTGTTGCTACAATGCGAACACCGACGAGTCATCCACACAAAACACAACCAAACAAGAAACAAGATGATAACTTTTGTTTTGATGTCTTATTGAGAAGAAGAAGGAAGAGGGTTTGAGTATTTTGAGATATTTGAAAAGACCGAGAGGATTATGGTGGAACGTACGTTTGAATTCGTGTTTTAAATATTTACTTTTTATAAGCTTTTATTTTATATTATCTTAGCTGGAAATCTTCGTATATGACAGTAATACACTATCTATACTATTAAAAGAGAAGGAGTCTAAATAAATCTACTTAAAAAAGTTGTTTGGACCCTTTCATTATACTAACATTTTTTTTATCTTTCCTTATATTTCTCTAACAATATTGTACAATAACATTATATCATATAACTTACCTTATATTTCTCTAATAATAAATTAGTAAATATTCTTATTTATTATACATTACTCTTATCGGTCAATATTTTTATTTCTCCACAAAACATTATTATAACCTTATACCAAAAAAATATATGAAATATCCAAAACATATATTTATCCAAAAACATGTATATATGAAATATGTATATATATATATATATATATATATATTTTAGAACCCGAAACCTAAAACTGTAACTAAAACTTAAAAGAATATACATCATACCAAAAACATATATGAAATATTCAAACATATATAATAAAAAAAAATATTGAGTGCTTTTATGTACCCGATCGGGTCTCGGTTATGATCCATACTAGAATCGATTCCTGCGGGTCTTTAAAGATAGCCAGTAAGTACTTTATCATGGATCCTAGCCGAACCTATATTTTCGGGTCGGTTTGGTCGTGTTTTTCGATCCGGATAAAATGTCAAGACCTAGAGA